ATGGAGAGGCCCAAGGACCCCGAGTATGGAGGAAGAATGGAGAGGCCCAAGGACCCCGAGTATGGAGGAAGAATGGAGAGGCCCAAGGACCCCGAGTATGGAGGAAGAATGGAGAGGGCCAAGGACCCCGAGTATGGAGGAAGAATGGAGAGGCCCAAGGACCCCGAGTATGGAGGAAGAATGGAGAGGCACAAGGACCCCGAGTATGGAGGAAGAATGGAGGGGCACAAGGACCCCGAGTATGGAGGAAGAATGGAGAGGCACAAGGACCCCGAGTATGGAGGAAGAATGGAGAGGCACACACTGCAAGATGCTTGAAGTCCAGTGTGAAGTTTCCACAGTCTGTGTTGATTTGGGGAGCCATGTCATCTGCTGGTGTTGGCCCACTGTGCTTCATTAAGTCCAGGGTCACCGCAGCCGTCTACCAGGAGATTTTGGAGCACTTCATGCTTCCTTCCTCAGACCAGCTTTATGGGGATGCTGACTTCATTTTCCAGCAGGACTTGGCTCCGCCCACACTGCCAAAAGCACCAAAACCTGGTTCAATGACCGTGGGATGACTGTGCTTGATTGGCCAGCAAACTCACCTGACCTGAACCCCATAGAGAATCTATGGGGCATTGCCAAGAGAAAGATGAGAGACATGAGACCGAACAATGCAGAAGAGCTGAAGGCCGCTATTGAAGCATCCTGGTCTTCCATAACACCTCAGCAGTGCCACAGGCTGATAGCTTCCATGCCACGCCGCATTGAGGCAGTAATTGCTGCAAAAGGGGCCCCAACCAAGTCCTGAGTACATATGCAGCTTCTACTTCTCAGAGGTGCGATATTGTTCTATGTACAATCCGTGTTTTATTGATTGCATGGAATATTCTCATTTTCTGAGATTGTGGATTTGGGGTTTTCATGAGCTGGAAGCCATAATCATCACAATGATGACAAATCACGGCTGGAACTATCTTGCTTTGCATGGAATGAGTCTCATATATTAGTTCCACCTTTTAAGTTGCTGCACTGAAATCAATGAATGAATGAATGCACCAGATTCTCATTTTTCCAGTTTCACCTGTATTTATAAATGCATTCCAAAAATGCAGATTAAATGTATTTTTAAAAATATTTTTCATATATTTTGTAATAAAAATGCAATTCAACATACAGTATATTTATTTATTTATTGAAATATATTGAACATGGTCAAAATTGTAGTATTTCAAATATATTTTTCTTCCATATGGGATATTATGGCAATTTTCTGGGATCAAATGTAGTAATCCATTTAGTTTGTCGAGTGAATTTTTGCCGAGGCGTGCATACCCCCCAAAAAATATTAAAATATAAAAAAAAAAACTAAATCTTTATATACCATTTATTACAATTGTTATATATTGTGTGCCCTCACACTGTATTTTTTTTCTCGAAAAATATTTTTTATTATTATACAGGATTTATGGCGCTAACAGTGTGCTCAGCGCTGTACAATATAACGGGAGACAATACAGCAACAATACAGATCAATACAAGAGGGAGGGGCTGATCCTGGGAGCTTACAATCTAAGAGGGAGGGGCTGATCCTGGGAGCTTACAATCTAAGAGGGAGGGGCCTGATCCTCGGAGTTTACAATCTAAGAGGGAGGGGCTGATCCTGGGAGCTTACAATCTAAGAGGGAGGGGCTGATCCTGGGAGTTTACAATCTAAGAGGGAGGGGCCTGATCCTGGAGTTTACAATCTAAGAGGGAGGGGCTGATCCTGGGAGTTTACAATCTAAGAGGGAGGGGCCTGATCCTCGGAGTTTACAATCTAAGAGGGAGGGGCTGATCCTGGGAATTTACAATCTAAGAGGGAGAGGCTGATCCTGGGAGTTTACAATCTAAGAGGGAGGGGCTGATTCTGGGAGCTTACAATCTAAGAGGGAGGGGCTGATCCTGGGAGTTTACAATCTAAGAGGGGGGGCTGATCCTGGGAGTTTACAATCTAAGAGGGAGGGGCTGATCCTGGGAGTTTACAATCTAAGAGGGGGGGCTGATCCTGGGAGTTTGCAATCTAAGAGGGAGGGGCTGATCCTGGGAGTTTACAATCTAAGAGGGAGGGGCCTGATCTTGGGAGTTTACAATCTAAGAGGGAGGGGCTGATCCTGGGAGTTTACAATCTAAGAGGGAGGGCCTGATTCTGGGAGCTTACAATCTAGAGAGGGAGGGCCTGATCCCGGGAGTTTACAATCTAAGAGGGAGGGGCCTGATCCTGGGAGTTTACAATCTAAGAGGGGGGGCTGATCCTGGGAGTTTACAATCTAAGAAGGAGGGGCTGATCCTGGGAGCTTACAATCTAAGAAGGAGGGGCTGATCCTGGGAGCTTACAATCTAAGAGGGAGGGCCTGATCCTGGGAGCTTACAATCTAAGAAGGAGGGGCTGATCCTGGGAGCTTACAATCTAAGAGGGAGGGCCCTGATCCTGGGAGCTTACAATCTAAGAGGGAGGGGCTGATCCTGGGAGTTTACAATCTAAGAAGGAGGGGCTGATCCTGGGAGTTTACAATCTAGGAGGGAGGGCCCTGATCCTGGGAGTTTACAATCTAAGAGGGAGGGGCTGATCCTGGGAGTTTACAATCTAAGAGGGAGGGGCTGATCCTGGGAGTTTACAATCTAAGAGGAAGGGGCTGATCCTGGGAGTTTACAATCTAGGAGGGAGGGCCCTGATCCTGGGAGTTTACAATCTAAGAGGGAGGGGCTGATCCTGGGAGTTTACAATCTAAGAGGGAGGGGCTGATCCTGGGAGTTTACAATCTAAGAGGGAGGGCCCTGATCCTGGGAGTTTACAATCTAAGAGGGAGGGGCTGATCCTGGGAGTTTACAATCTAAGAGGGAGGGGCTGATCCTGGGAGTTTACAATCTAAGAAGGAGGGGCTGATCCTGGGAGCTTACAATCTAAGAGGGAGGGGCCTGATCCTGGGAGCTTACAATCTAAGAGACACGACATAAATGATTACACCTGCCACCGTTTCATTCTCCGGGGTCACTGCTTTCACAAAATAATTGTTTGAGGGTTTTAAAGCTAATTTCTAGCAAAAAAAACGCAGATTTTCCTGTGTGAGGATTTTAGATATTAGTGACCCTGGGGAGCCCCGACCTCACTGACTGGATTTGGGGCTGAATGGGGCAGCTAATATAAGTTCAGAATGGGGGGGGGTGACTACGCAGGATGGGCTCAGCATTTTATTTGATACAAATGTAGAAATGATGTAATATTGGAACGGCTTTCAGTGACCCTTCCAGGACCATCAACATCCATAAATGTTCAGCCAGGGCATGCTGGGATTTGTGGTACTACAACCAATCGGAAATGCCTGACTTCAGTGATTTACTACTAGCAATCTGACCCCACACCATTACAACAGGCTGTAGATGAGTTCCGGCAATCCCTAGACAGGCTGTAGAAGAGTTCCGGCAATCCCTAGACAGGCTGTAGAAGAGTTCCGGCAATCCCTAGACAGGCTGTAGAAGAGTTCCGGCATTCCCTAGACAGGCTGTAGAAGAGTTCCGGCAATCCCTAGACAGGCTGTAGATGAGTTCCGGCGTTCTCTAGCCAGGCTGTAGACGAGTTCCGGCATTCCCTAGACAGGCTGTAGAAGAGTTCCGGAATTCCCTAGACAGGCTGTAGAAGAGTTCCGGCAATCCCTAGACAGGCTGTAGAAGAGTTTCGGCATTCCCTAGACAGGCTGTAGAAGAGTTCCGGAATTCCCTAGACAGGCTGTAGAAGAGTTCCGGCAATCCCTAGACAGGCTGTAGAAGAGTTCCGGCATTCCCTAGACAGGCTGTAGAAGAGTTCCGGCATTCCCTAGATGGGCTGTAGAAGAGTTCCGGCAATCCCCAGACAGGCTGTAGAAGAGTTCCGGCAATCCCTAGCCAGGCTGTAGAAGAGTTCCGGCAATCCCTAGACAGGCTGTAGAAGAGTTCCGGAATTCCCTAGATGGGCTGTAGAAGAGTTCCGGCAATCCCCAGACAGGCTGTAGAAGAGTTCCGGCATTCCCTAGATGGGCTGTAGAAGAGTTCCGGCAATCCCCAGACAGGCTGTAGAAGAGTTCCGGCAATCCCTAGACAGGCTGTAGTAGAGTTCCGGCAATCCCTAGACAGGCTGTAGAAGAGTTCCAGCAATCCCTAGACGGGCTGTAGTAGAGTTCCGGCAATCCCTAGACAGGCTGTAGAAGAGTTCCGGCATTCCCTAGACAGGCTGTAGAAGAGTTCCGGCAATCCCTAGACAGGCTGTAGAAGAGTTCCGGCATTCCCTAGACAGGCTGTAGAAGAGTTCCGGCAATCCCTAGACAGGCTGTAGAAGAGTTCCGGCATTCCCTAGATGGGCTGTAGAAGAGTTCCGGCAATCCCTAGACAGGCTGTAGAAGAGTTCCGGCAATCCCTAGACAGGCTGTAGAAGAGTTCTGGCATTCCCTAGATGGGCTGTAGAAGAGTTCCGGCAATCCCCAGACAGGCTGTAGAAGAGTTCCGGCAATCCCCAGACAGGCTGTAGAAGAGTTCCGGCATTCCCTAGATGGGCTGTAGAAGAGTTCCGGCAATCCCCAGACAGGCTGTAGAAGAGTTCCGGCAATCCCTAGACAGGCTGTAGTAGAGTTCCGGCAATCCCTAGACAGGCTGTAGAAGAGTTCCGGCATTCCCTAGACAGGCTGTAGAAGAGTTCCGGCAATCCCTAGACAGGCTGTAGAAGAGTTCCGGCATTCCCTAGACAGGCTGTAGAAGAGTTCCGGCAATCCCTAGACACCAGCAATTTCATAAAACAAAATAAAGGTTTGACTTTTTTCTGTGCAGTTGGTAGCCCCTCAGTGGGCGTGTCTTGTTGCTCACGTTTTTTTTTAAATGTTTATAAAATAATAAAAACCATTTAAATACTAAAAAAAAATAAAGGAACGACCCGATTGGTTGCTGCAGCACAGGCACTTGTAGTGGGAGGGAGTGTCAGTCATGTGACCGCACGCCCCCGAGGAGGTCCTTCATTTCTTCCTGGTGGAGGAGGACGAATGTTTGACATTGAGGGGGGTCTCTGATTGGTGCAATGGAGGGACTTTGACTCCTTTGTGTTTGAGCTGCTGGTGAAAATCCGACCGCTCTGCGATTATCTTCTAGGGAAGAAAACAAACGTCTGGATGAATAGTCGCTTTATTCTGCCTCGCAGCCCAACCCCCATTACACGTTCCACTGCCTAACGCAATCAGGACTGGAATCTGAACATTAAGTCTGAAAGCTGAAGAGTAATCTGCTTATATTTTGCCTTCCCTGGACCCCCCTCCTGGTCCCCCTCCCCCCCACCAACACGCTAGTGAATTTGTAAAATAAAGGCTTTCTGTTTTCATTACATTCCTCATTATATATTCAATAATGTCATCACTGGGTCTCTGCCCTTCTCTATGCAAAGCAGGCAGATCATCAGGAGTACTGAGAACATCCCAGCACCCTGCCTCAGTACTCCTCTCATGAGCCCTCAGGCCTGATGCAAGAAGTGGGAGGAGTTATGCAAATACTAAAATGCTTTGATGGGTGTCAGTCTGGAGGGGTGGGCGTTCCTAAGCAGGCAACATTTGCATACAGGCCACCCTAGGTAACACCCACATTTGATACTGATTCTCCATGATTTAAAAGACTGAAATCCAATGAATGAAAGGGGCGGGGCCAGGGACTGTAAGGCTGGGGAATTAAGGGCTAGATGATGCTGGACGCCCTCCAGCCAGGAAATGAGGCGGAGCTCTATACGACTTGCTGCAGCTTCTAATGCACATTGTGAGCTCCCAGTGTGCAGTGACATCAGAGAAAACCATTTAGTCCAGAGGAGGAGCCGGTACACCTGTGCAAGACTGAAGGGGAGGAGCCGGTACACCTGTGCAAGACTGAAGGGGAGGAGCAGGTACACCTGTGCCAGACTGAAGGGGAGGAGCCGGTACACCTGTGCAAGACTGAAGGGGAGGAGCTGGCACACCTGTGCAAGAATGAAGGGGAGGAGCCGATATACCTGTGCAAGACTGAAGGGGAGGAGCCGGGATACCTGTGCCAAACTGAAGGGGAGGAGCCGGGATACCTGTGCCAAACTGAAGGGGAGGAGCCGGTACACCTGTGCCAGACTGAAGGTGAGGAGCAGGTACACCTGTGCAAGACTGAAAGGGGAGGAGCCGGTACACCTGTGCCAGACTGAAGGGGAGGAGCCGGCAACCTGTGCCAGACTGAAGGGGAGGAGCCGGTACTCCTGTGCAAGACTGAAGGAGAGGAGCTGGTACACCTGTGCAAGACTGAAGGGGAGGAGCTGGTACACCTGTGCCAGACTGAAGGGGAGGAGCCGGTACATCTGTGCAGGTCTGAAGGGGAGGAGCCAGTACACCTGTGCCAGACTGAAGGGGAGGAGCCGGTATATCTGTGCCAGACTGGAGGGGAGACCGGAGGGAGGATTTCGGATATAAGGATTGCATAGGCTTGATTGATATTTGGATAGAATTATTGACTTTGAATTCAAATTTTTCTTCTTAAATTTCCAGGTTTTGATTTGATGTTTCTACACGCTCGCCCTTCTATATTTTATTCATGGTATTCAATTTAGAGATTTAAAAAAAAAAACAATTGTCTCATATATACTGTAGTTCCCATATATACTTCTCATATATACGTCTCATATATACGTCTCATATATACGTCTCATATATACGTCTCATATATACGTCTCATATATACGTCTCATATATACGTCTCATATATACGTCTCATATATACGTCTCATATATACGTCCCATATATACTTTCCATATATACGTCCCATATATACTTTCCATATATACGTCTCATATATACGTCTCATATATACGTCTCATATATACGTCTCATATATACGTCTCATATATACGTCTCATATATACGTCTCATATATACGTCTCATATATACGTCTCATATATACGTCTCATATATACGTCTCATATATACGTCTCATATATACGTCTCATATATACGTCTCATATATACTTCTCATATATACGTCTCATATATACGTCTCATATATACTTTCCATATATACGTCTCATATATACGTCTCATATATACGTCTCATATATACGTCTCATATATACGTCTCATATATACGTCTCATATATACGTCTCATATATACTTCTCATATATACGTCTCATATATACTTCTCATATATACGTCTCATATATACGTCTCATATATACGTCTCATATATACGTCTCATATATACGTCTCATATATACGTCTCATATATACTTCTCATATATACTTCTCATATATACGTCTCATATATACGTCTCATATATACTTCTCATATATACGTCTCATATATACTTCTCATATATACGTCTCATATATACGTCTCATATATACGTCTCATATATACTTTCCATATATACGTCTCATATATACGTCTCATATATACGTCTCATATATACTTTCCATATATACGTCTCATATATACGTCTCATATATACGTCTCATATATACTTTCCATATATACGTCTCATATATACGTCTCATATATACGTCTCATATACACGTCTCATATACACGTCTCATATATACGTCTCATATACACGTCTCATATACACGTCTCATATATACTTCCCATATATACGTCTCATATACACGTCTCATATACACGTCTCATATATACTTCCCATATATACGTCTCATATATACGTCTCATATATATACTTTCCATATATACGTCTCATATATACGTCTCATATATACGTCTCATATATACGTCTCATATATACGTCTCATATATACGTCTCATATATACGTCTCATATATACGTCTCATATATACGTCTCATATATACGTCTCATATATACGTCTCATATATACTTCTCATATATACGTCTCATATATACGTCTCATATATACTTTCCATATATACGTCTCATATATACGTCTCATATATACGTCTCATATATACGTCTCATATATACGTCTCATATATACGTCTCATATATACGTCTCATATATACTTCTCATATATACGTCTCATATATACTTCTCATATATACGTCTCATATATACGTCTCATATATACGTCTCATATATACGTCTCATATATACGTCTCATATATACGTCTCATATATACTTCTCATATATACTTCTCATATATACGTCTCATATATACGTCTCATATATACTTCTCATATATACGTCTCATATATACTTCTCATATATACGTCTCATATATACGTCTCATATATACGTCTCATATATACTTTCCATATATACGTCTCATATATACGTCTCATATATACGTCTCATATATACTTTCCATATATACGTCTCATATATACGTCTCATATATACGTCTCATATATACTTTCCATATATACGTCTCATATATACGTCTCATATATACGTCTCATATACACGTCTCATATACACGTCTCATATATACGTCTCATATACACGTCTCATATACACGTCTCATATATACTTCCCATATATACGTCTCATATATACGTCTCATATATACTTTCCATATATACGTCTCATATATACGTCTCATATATACGTCTCATATATACGTCTCATATATACGTCTCATATATACGTCTCATATATACTTTCCATATATACGTCTCATATATACTTCTCATATATACGTCTCATATATACTTCTCATATATACGTCTCATATATACGTCTCATATATACGTCTCATATATACTTCTCATATATACGTCTCATATATACGTGTCTCATATATATACTGTACATGTCTGGGGGTCAGTGGCTCACACTGCGGACTGACCAATCAGCTGTGAACTTCTATCAGAACACTGGAAGGTGATTGGCTGTTGTTGTACAGCAATGTACTTACCTGCATGGTTTCCAGGACCTCATTATCGGAGACCTCCACCTGCGGACCCTTGAACCCCGGGGCCGTGTAGGCGGCTTGTATTATTTTGCTGCGGAATCTCTCGAACTGCAACAAGAAGGCAGCGAATGACCAATCAGCATACAATGCGTCTACATTATTGAGTCTCGTCATCCTTCTGCACTTTAATACGCAGCCCTGATGATGATGATCTCCACCCAAAATGGTTTTAGTGTTGGATTTGGGGGACCTGGGCCGGTCCTGTTGTTCCTTATCTGAGATTGTTTGTGAGTTCCCATCAATCTGATACAATCAGAGGAAAGAACAGGTAATGCCAAACTGACTCGGTCAATTATTTACTAAGTAGTGAAGTCAGGATCTGGAGGACAGGCCAGGATCAGGAGGACAGGCCAGGATCAGGACAGGCCAAGATCAGGAGGACAGACCAGGATCAGGAGAACAGGCCAGTATCAGGAGGACAGGCCAGGATCAGGAGGACAGGCCAGGATCAGGAGGACAGCCAAGCATCAGGAGGACAGGCCAGGATCAGGAGGACAGGCCAGGAGCAGGAGGACAGGCCAGGATCAGGAGGACAGGCCAGGATCAGGAGGACAGCCAAGCATCAGGACAGGCCAGGATCAGGAGGATAGGCCAGGATCAGGAGGACAGCCAAGCATCAGGACAGGCCAGGATCAGGAGGATAGGCCAGGATCAGGAGGACAGCCAAGCATCAGGACAGGCCAGGATCAGGAGGACAGGCCAGGATCAGGAGGACAGACCAGTATCAGGAGGACAGACCAGTATCAGGAGGACAGACCTGCATCAGGACAGGCCAGGATCAGGAGGACAGGCCAGGATCAGGAGGACAGGCCAGGATCAGGAGGACAGACCAGTATCAGGAGGACAGACCTGCATCAGGACAGACCAGGATCAGGAGGACAGACCTGCATCAGGACAGGCTAGGATCAGGAGGACAGGCCAGGATCAGGAGGACAGACCTGCATCAGGACAGGCCAGGATCAGGAGGACAGGCCAGGATCAGGAGGACAGGCCAGGATCAGGAGGACAGACCAGGATCAGGAGGACAGACCAGTATCAGGAGGACAGACCTGCATCAGGACAGACCAGGATCAGGAGGACAGGCCAGGATCAGGAGGACAGGCCAGGATCAAGAGGACAGACCAGGATCAGGAGGACAGACCAGCATCGGCACAGGCCAGGATCAGGAGGACAGGCCAGGATCAAGAGGACAGGACAGGATCAAAAGGACAGGACAGGATCAGGAGGACAGACCAGGATCAAGATATAGCCTAGGATCAGGAGGACATGCCAGGATCAGGAGGACAGACCAGGATCAGGAGGACAGACCAGGATCAGGACAGGCCAGGATCAGGAGGACAGGCCAGGATCAGGAGGACAGACCAAGATCAGGACAGGCCAGGATCAGGAGGACAGGCCAGGATCAGGAGGACAGGTCAGGATCAGGAGGACAGGTCAGGATCAGGAGGACAGGCCAGGATCAGGAGGACAGGCCAGGATCAGGAGGACAGGCCGGGATCAGGAGGACAGGCCAGGATCAAGAGGACAGGACAGGATCAAGAGGACAGGACAGGATCAAGAGGACAGGACAGGATCAGGAAGACAGACCAGGATCAAGATATAGCCTAGGATCAGGAGGACATGCCAGGATCAGGAGGACAGACCAGGATCAGGACAGGCCAGGATCAGGAGGACAGGCCAGGATCAGGAGGACAGACCAAGATCAGGACAGGCCAGGATCAGGAGGACAGGCCAGGATCAGGAGGACAGGCCAGGATCAGGAGGACAGGTCAGGATCAGGAGGACAGGTCAGGATCAGGAGGACAGACCAGGATCAGGAGGACAGCCAAGCATCAGGACAGGCCAGGATCAGGGAGGACAGGCCAGTATCAGGAGGACAGACCTGCATCAGGACAGGCCAGGATCAGGAGGACAGGCCAGGATCAGGAGGACAGACCAGTATCAGGAGGACAGACCTGCATCAGGACAGGCCAGGATCAGGAGGACAGGCCAGGATCAGGAGGACAGACCTGCATCAGGACAGGCTAGGATCAGGAGGACAGGCCAGGATCAGGAGGACAGACCTGCATCAGGACAGGCCAGGATCAGGAGGACAGGCCAGGATCAGGAGGACAGGCCAGGATCAGGAGGACAGGCCAGTATCAGGAGGACAGACCAGTATCAGGAGGACAGACCTGCATCAGGACAGACCAGGATCAGGAGGACAGGCCAGGATCAGGAGGACAGGCCAGGATCAAGAGGACAGACCAGGATCAGGAGGACAGACCAACATCGGCACAGGCCAGGATCAGGAGGACAGGCCAGGATCAAGAGGACAGGACAGGATCAAGAGGACAGGATCAGGAGGACAGACCAGGATCAAGATATAGCCTAGGATCAGGAGGACATGCCAGGATCAGGAGGACAGACCAGGATCAGGACAGGCCAGGATCAGGAGGACAGGCCAGGATCAGGAGGACAGACCAAGATCAGGACAGGCCAGGATCAGGAGGACAGGCCAGGATCAGGAGGACAGGTCAGGATCAGGAGGACAGGCCAGGATCAGGAGGACAGGCCAGGATCAGGAGGACAGGCCGGGATCAGGAGGACAGGCCGGGATCAGGAGGACAGGCCAGGATCAGGACAGGCCAGGATCAGGAGGACAGGCCAGGATCAGGACTGGCCAGGATTTGGCAAATTTGAACAATGCAGCTTCCATAGTTTTGTCCTGCCAGTTTTTTCTGTGTGTCTATTGCACCACCTAGTGGTCCTTATTTCCATTGCAGGCAGTCATTACTGGTTGGATGGGGTAATCGGGGGGGGGGCAAACCTCCCAGGAAGTGACATCAGAAAAGTTTTAAAAGTTTGATCATCCCCAGTGATGTGACCGGCCTGAGGTGATACCCCAAGAGGAAACAAATCCTCTGACGTACGTTTGTACCGGTTTATCTGCAGTCTTCTCTCCTCCACAGATGTTCAAAGTGCTGAATTTATGCCGCATTTCTACACTCAGCATCAGTGAGAATAAACATGGCCTTAGGGTTGGGTGTCAGTGGGAGGAATAGTGCCCCACCATTGGTGTCAGTGGGAGGAATAGTGCCCCATCGTTGGTATCAGTGGGAGGAATAGTGCCCCGTCATTGGTGTCAGTGGGAGGAATAGTGTCCCATCATTGGTGTCAGTGGGAGGAATAGTGTCCCATCATTGGTGTCAGTGGGAGGAATAGTGCCCCATCATTGGTGTCAGTGGGAGGAATAGTGCTCCATCATTGGTGTCAGTGGGAGGAATAGTGCCCCATCATTGGTGTCAGTAGGAGGAATAGTGCCCCATCATTGGTATCAGTGGGAGGAATAGTGCCCCATCATTGGTGTCAGTAGGAGGAATAGTGCCCCATCATTGGTATCAGTGGGAGGAATAGTGTCCCATCATTGGTGTCAGTGGGAGGAATAGTGCCCCATCATTGGTATCAGTGGAGGAATAGTGCCCATCATTGGTGTCAGTGGGAGGAATAGTGCCCCATCATTGGTGTCAGTGGGAGGAATAGTGCCCCATCATTGGTGTCAGTGGGAGGAATAGTGCCCCATCATTGGTGTCAGTGGGAGGAATAGTGCCCCATCATTGGTGTCAGTGGGGGGAATAGTGCCTCCTATCACTGGGAGGAGAAGTACCGGAAGGGCCGGATATTGTCCAGCATAGGGCCACAGTTTGGGGCCCCCTGGCATAGTGAGTAGAAGGGGAAGGTGAGAGCAGACAGAACTCGGTGCTCTGGACTGAGGCAGACACACACTATGGACGGTTCTATGTGGTGGGGACACCGACCCTGCAGCTCACCCTGGATTGGACGGCCTCCAGGCTGACCCTGACATGCTGCTCGGATGTTGCCAGCTCCCCGGCTTTGCTCTCCATTTGGTTTCTCTCTCCTTCGTTTTTCCTCATCTGGATCTGGACCTCCAGGACCTCCCTCTGCAGCCTCTGAACGTCGCCCTTCAGCTCACCAATCAGATCGTTCCTCCGGCTCACCTCCGATTTCAGTTCAGATACCAGCTGGGGAGGACAGCAATATGGGGAAAAAAAAATGTTGACGGCTGCAAACTTACCCCAACCAATGTTCATACCCCCCTCCCCCTTCTGTGACCAAGTCCCCGGTGGGCGGGGCAAAATGCGTCAGCAGCAGCTGAGGCCATCTCATACGTCTCATTGGGCTGGTTAGAGTGGTGCCTGTTTATCTGTTACATTAGACCCCTCCCCCCTCTCCCGCCATACTGAGCCCAGCCTGTCAGCGCCCTCTACCATGCAGTAGGTATCTAGGCGCGTCGCCGCAATGGTGACCTGAACTGTCACTGCCACTTTCCCCAATGGAAGTTGATCCCTTGCTGGAGGAGATTCTGCACAATGGCAGTTAGTTTTCTGCCACCACAGCCAGAATCTGACCTCACTTTCCTCTTCTGCAGGTAAAGCAATGCAGCTTGGTCAAGCCCCTCCCCCCCAGCCTGTGATTGGATGATAAATAAAAAACAAAATATTAATCCCTGTCCTGAGAGTGAGCCACAGTGAGGGATGGCCGCTCCCGCGTTAGGAAATCCATCCCCTTTGGGGTCCATTCACATAACGTCTCGTCACCAACAACCCCATCATTTGCCCAGTATGTGGTTTCCTGTGTTCATCGGCTCCCTCTAGTGGCCACAATGTGGTCTGGAAATACCAAATGATGAGCACTAGATGGAGCCGAGGCTCATAGGAAATACACGTATCGGGGGTTGTATGTGGGGGGGGGGGGGGGGGGGTGTGAATGACGAGACCCTGAAGTCTGATCCGTACATCACACCGCAGCAACACAACACGCGTTATCACATACGTCCCGCATCCGCCGCAGAGGACACATCCAGCACACGCCCTGTGTAACCGCAGCAACACAACACGCGTTATCACATACGTCCCGCATCCGCCGCAGAGGACACATCCAGCACACGCCCTGTGTAACCGCAGCAACACAACACGCGTTATCACATACGTCCCGCATCCGCCGCAGAGGACACTTCCAGCACACGCCCTGTGTAACCGCAGCAACACAACACGCGTTATCACATACGTCCCGCATCCGCCGCAGAGGACACATCCAGCACACGCCCTGTGTAACCGCAGCAACACAACACGCGTTATCACATACGTCCCGCATCCGCCGCAGAGGACACATCCAGCACACGCCCTGTGTAACCGCAGCAACACAACACGCGTTATCACATACGTCCCGCATCCGCCGCAGAGGAAACTTCCAGCACACGCCACACGTAACTGCAGCAACACAACCCGCGTTATCACATACGTCCCGAATCCGCCACAGAGGACACGTCCAGCACACGCCCTGTGTAACCACAGCAACACAATACGTGTTATTACATACGTCCCGCATCCGCCGCAGAGGACACTTCTAGCACACGCCCCGCGTAACCGCAGCAACACAACCCGCGTTATCACATACGTCCCGCATCCGCCGCAGAGGACACTTCTAGCACACGCCCCGCGTAACCGCAGCAACACAACCCGCGTTATCACATACGTCCCGCATCCGCCGCAGAGGACACTTCTAGCACACGCCCCGCGTAACCGCAGCAACACAACCCGCATTATCACATACGTCCCGCATCCGCCGCAGAGGACACGTCCAGCACACACCACACGTAACCGCAGCAACACAACCCGCGTTATCACATACGTCCCGCATCCGCCGCAGAGGACACGTCCAGCACACACCACACGTAACCGCAGCAACACAACACGCGTTATCACATACGTCCCGCATCTGCCGCAGAGGACACGTCCAGCACACGCCCCGTGTAACCACAGCAACACAACACTCGTTATCACATACATCACGCATCCGCCGCAGAGGACAAGTCCAGCACACGCCCTGTGTAACCACAGCAACACAACACGTGTTATCACATATGTCCCGCATCCGCCGTAGAGGACAATTCCAGCACACGCCCCGTGTAACCACAGCAACACAACACGTGTTATCACATACGTCCCGCATCCGCCGCAGAGGACACTTCCAGCACACGCCCTGTGTAACCGCAGCAACACAACACGCGTTATCACATACGTCCCACATCCGCCGCAGAGGACACGTCCAGCACATGCCTCATGTAACCGCAGCAACACAACATGCGTTATCACATATGTCCCGCATCCACCGCAGAGGACACTTCTAGCACACGCCCCGTGTAACCACAGCAACACAACACGCGTTATCACATACGTCCCGCATCCGCCGCAGAGGAAACCTCCAGCACACGCCCTGTGTAACCGCAGCAACAGAACACGCGTTATCACATGCATCCCGCATCCGCCGCAGAGGAAACCTCCAGCACACGCCCCGTGTAACCGCAGCAACAGGTGGGCGGGGCTGAGAACTTTAAGGATTTATCGCATTATATATATTTTTATTTTTTAATGGTTGAACTGGATGGACTTTTGTCTTTTTTCAGCCAGACTAACTATGTAACTATGTAACACTGTAGCGATGTAACAATGTAACAATACTATATAACTATGTAACGATATGACTATGTAACAATGTAACTATATTGCCTGCCATAGTCAGGAACACTGAAATGAACATAAAAGGAAGATTTCTCGGACAGCTCACCTCTCTCAGGTTATAATTCTCTTTCTCCATCGCCGCCATCATCTCTTCGTGTTTCCTGTCCTCCCGCACGCTGGAAAACTTCAAACATCAATATTCACATTAATACCATACAGCTCCGTGCTCTGTACCCGCCCAGCGACCTGCCATTCTGTTCAGCAAGGTTTGTGATACATAACAGCTTCCTGTGTCCCCCCGCCCCCTGTCATCTTCATCCTGCTCAGTATATAATGGATCAGCAACACCTACAGTGGGAGGGTCTTCCATGTGCTCCACCCTAACTCCTCCCCATCCAGCTCCCAGTGCCTGAAATACACTATATTGCCCCCAGTATCAGTCGCCCGGCCTTTCCACACACATGACCTTTAATAGCCTCCCCAGTCTTAGTCCGTAGGGTTCAATATTGAGTTGGCCCCGCCCTTTCCACGCACATGACCTTTAATGGCCCCCCAGTCTTAGTCCGTAGGGTTCAATATTGAGTTGGCCCCGCCCTTTCCACGCACATGACCTTTAATGGCCCCCAGTCTTAGTCCGTAGGGTTCAATATTGAGTTGGCCCCGCCCTTTCCACGCACATGACCTTTAATGGCCCCCAGTCTTAGTCCGTAGGGTTCAATATTGAGTTGGCCCCGCCCTTTGCCTCTTCTGGGAAGGCCGTCCACAAGGTTTAGGAGGGTGTCTATGGGAAGGTTGGACCATTCTTCCAGAAGCACATTTGTCAGGTCAGGCACTGATGTCGGGGGAGGAGGCCTGGCTCGCAGTCTCCGCTCTAATTCATCCCAAAGGTGTTCTATGGGGTTGAGGTCAGGACTCTGTGCAGGACAGTCAAGTTCCTCCACCCCAAACTGGCTCCTCCATGTCTTTATGGACCTTGCTTTGTGCACTGGTGGGCAGTCATGTTGGAACAGGAAGGGGCCGTCTCCAAACTCCTCCCACAAAGTTGGGAGCATGAAATTGTCCAAAATGTCGCCTTAAGAGTTCCCTTCACTGGAACTAGGGGGCCAAGCCCAACCCCTGAGGAACACCCCCACACCATAATCCCCCCTCCACCAAACTTTACACTTGGTACAATGCAGTCAGGCAAGTACCGTTCTCCTGACAACCGCCAAACCCAGACACCTCCATCGGATTGCCAGACAGAGAAGCGTGATTGGTCACTCCAGAGAACACGCCTCCTCTGCTCTAGAGTCCAGTGGCGGCATGCTTTACACCACGGCATCCGACGCTTTGCATTGCACTTGGTGATGGAAGGCTTGGATGCAGCTGCTCGGCCATGGAAACCCATTCCATGGAGCTCTCTACGCACTGTTGTTGGGCTCATCTGAAGGCCACACCAAGTTTGGAGGTCTTTAGCTATTGACTCTGCAGACAGTTGGTGACTTCTGCGCACTGTGCGCTTCAGCATGCGCTGACCCCGCCCTGTCATGTGACGTGGCCTACCACTTGGTGGCTGAGTGGCTGTTGTTCCCAGTTGCTTCCACTTTGTTATAATCCCACTAACAGTTTTATTTATTTATTTATTTCAGGTACTTATATAGCTCCATCAATGTACTTTACATATATATTGTATATTCACATCAGGCCCCGCCCCCAAGAAGCGTACAATCTAAGGTCCCTAACTTACATTCATACATACACATATTAGGGCCAATTTAGACAGGAGCCAATTAACCTCCCAGCATGTCTTTGTAGTGTGGGAGGAAACCGGAGTACCAGGAGGAAACCTACGCAAGCACAGGGAGAACATGCAAACTCCAGGCAGGTGGTGCTGTGGTTGGGATTCAAACCAGTGACCCGAGTACTTCCAGGCAGAAATGCTAACCATTTAGCCACTGAGCTGCCATAGTTGAGCGTGGAATATTTAGTAGCCAGGAAATGTCACGGATGGACTTATTGCCCAGGTGGCCACCTATCACGGGACCACGCTTGGAGTCACTGAGCTCCTGAGAGCGACCCATTCTTTCACCATAATATGGAGGGGATTGGAAAACCTGAATCACATGATATGGAGGGGATTGGAACATGGTCACATGACAGAACAGGTCACGTGGCAGAACAGGTCACGTGGCAGAAGAGATCACGTGGCAGAAGAGATCACAGCGCCCCCGCTCTGTACCTTGGTGGACATGGCATGCAGCTGCACTCCTCTGTCTATCAACTCTCTCTGTAAATCTTCTTTCTCAGACTCGGATTTTCGGAGTTTGGATTGCTGGGAGGAGATTGTTCTCTGAAGAGAGGATATGACACCTGCGGAGATCAAGGAGAGGGCATTATTGTTCCTGTGTGTGGTCACTTCTCCGTCTGAGCTTGACATAAACCCCCCCTGGTGGCCAGAGCCGGGAGTGGTGGCGGGCAAATCTCACTTCTGTGTGACGTCATAAAAGGGTCAGGAGCTTCTCCCCCCACAATTCTCCCAGGTAGGGCAGCCCATAGATGTGAACCGAGGGCAGGTCCTCATTCACACTTGTGGTTAGGGGGCACCAAAAAGGCGTGGTTGAGCCACATTTTTAGCACCCCCCCCCCCAACCATCCCGGTTTAAGTTGCAAAGACTGTGGAGGAAGGGGGGGGGAGGGGGTACATAAAATCTCCCTGCTCTCCCGTTCAGCAGGCACTACCTCCCACCGAGCTCCACCCTTCAACTGAATCTCGGCACCTCGCAACCGTCCCACCACTGCATGCAAGGCGCAGGGTTGCAGGGCGCCGATGTGGGGTTTAACATAGGCGGCGGAGAGGAGATATCCCAGATCGCTCTTCATAGGGCAACACTACAACCAGTGTCAACGAGGCCTTGCTCCGCCCAGAATACAAAAAAAATTGGCTTTAGATTTACTTTGCTTTTTTTTTCTGATGTTTTACAAATATTTTATATGTTGCTTTACTGCACCTTGTGAGATGTTATAATCCTTCCTGGTGACCTCTAATTCCTCCTGAAGTCTCCGCACTTCCGGATCTTCTTCTTTGTATTCCTCCACAGATCCAAAATCGTCCTCCTGCTCCTCGGCTGTATCCGTGCGATCCGCAGTCTGATCCGAACATCTCTGCCCTCCATCGATCGTCTGCGCCGGACTCTCAGCCTCAGCCTCAGCCTCAGCCTCAGCTAGCATCTGCGGATTATTATTATTATTGAGATTATGATATTATTACTTTTTATCAGTAGAGGTAACATATTATTATTATTATTATTATTGAGATCATTGAGATTGTTATTATTACTGAAATTATGATATTACTGTTTTTATCAGTAGAGGTAACATATTGTTATTATTATTATTGAGATTGTTGTTATTATTATTATTGAGATTATTATTATTATTATTATTGAGATTATTATTATTATTATTATTATTGAAATTATTATTGTTATTAATGAGATTATTGTTATTATGTTATTATTATTATTATTGAAATTATTATTGTTATTATTATTGTTGTTATTGTTATTATTATTGAGATTATTATTATTGTTATTAATGAGATTATTGTTGTTATTATTATTATTATTATTATTATTATTATTATTATTAATGATATTATTTTTTATTAGTAGAGATAACATTATATTATTATTATTGAGATTATTATTATTATTGTTATTATTATTGAGATTATTATTGAGATTATTATTATTATTGTTATTAATGAGATTATGATATTATTTTTTATCAGTAGAGATAACATTATATTATTATTGAGATTATTATTATTAATGATATTATGATATTATTTTTTATCAGTAGAGATAACATTATATTATTATTATTATTATTGTTATTATTATTGTTATTATTATTGTTATTATTATTATTATTATTATTGAGATTATTATTGTTATTATTGTTGTTATTGTTATTATTATTATTATTATTGAGATTATGATATTATTACTTTTTATCAGTAGAGATAACATTAGGATATTATTTTTTTTATTGTTATTATTATTAAGATTATGAAATTCTTTTTTTTATCAGTAGAGATAATATATGATATTATTATTACTGAGGGCTCAGTGGGGGAGGAAGGCTCAGGCAGCAGCCGAGACGAAGAGAGAAAATATAGATCTGTAATGAAAGTACCAACCCAACTATCTAACCTAAACCACCCAATCCACACTATACAAAATACAAAGTTCAAACAGGAAAATGAAGATGGATCCGGGGATATCCCATGTCCTACGTACCGAAGGAAAGACGAGGAGTGGAGCAGATGGACACCCAACGTACCGAAGGAAAGCCGAGGAGTGGAGCAGATGGACACCCAACGTACCGAAGGAAAGCCGAGGAGTGGAGCAGATGGACACCCAACGTACCGAAGGAAAGACGAGGAGTGGAGCAGATGGACACCCAACGTACCGAAGGAAAGACGAGGAGTGGAGCAGATGGACACCCAACGTACCGAAGGAAAGACGAGGAGTGGAGCAGATGGACACCCAACGTACCGAAGGAAAGCCGAGGAGTGGAGCAGATGAACACCCAACGTACCGAAGGAAAGACGAGGAGTGGAGCAGATGGACACCCAACGCGTTTCATTGTAATTAGCCCTTCTTCAGGAATCTCCCATCACTAACCATCACTAATATCGCTTCCAGCTGTCCAGACCTCAGAACTATCACATCCCAGCCCTGATGAAGGGGGACTTCAGCCTCCCAAAACACATTGAATTCCTTTTATTAGCAGCTACATGTGATAACCACATTCTGGACACTGACAGGGGAGCTGACAACAACAACGACCTATAATCTGTGCCCTCCCGCCCCACTGACCCCCATCGCCCTCATTTCTTGATTTCATTCTTGGAGTCACAGGGATAAAACAGTGATATAACCTCCTCCATGGAGTCGCGGACGGCGATGAAAACCTGCCAGAAGCTCAAACCTTTCACTTTATCCAAGACTGACAATAGTCATACCTGGAGTTGGGCCAAGGTAGGTACATGACAGGAATGTTCAGCGTGTGATCTGATTTAGAGTAAGAAGTTAGTTTCTGGGATCATGAAATCAGTAATTGTCGTTACCTCGGCCTCCATCTGAGGGCTGTGACCGTCTCTATGTAACTCAGAGAAGCTCCCAGCCAAGGATATAGTGGAGACATTTCTCTCTGAGTTGGTGAACAGATCCCGGTGACTTGATGGTGAATTCAGAACTTCCCGTGTTGCATCCGGAGCGGAGGAGCATTCCTCGAATTCAGGGAATCCATTTGTACTGTGGAGGCTTCTAGGATCCAACTGCTCTACCGAAGAACTGTCCTAAAATAACAGGAACTGGTCAGTAACCATCCAAGACACCATATTCCTGGGCTTGTGATAGTACATAGGCTACTAACAGACCACCATGATCACAGACCACCATTATCATAGACAACCAATATCATAGACCACCATTATCATAGACCAAATGATCACAGACCACCATTATAGACTACCAATATCACAGACCACCATTATCATAGACCACCATTATCATAGACTACCTTTATCATAGACCACCATTATCATAGACTACCTATATCATAGACCGCCATGCTCACTGACCACCATTATCATAGACAACCAATATCACAGACCACCATTATCATAGACCACCATTATCATAGACTACCTTTATCATAGACTACCAATATCACAGACCACCATTATCATAGACCACCATTATCATAGACTACCTTTATCATAGACTACCAATATCACAGACCACCATTATCATAGACCACCATTATCATAGACTACCTTTATCATAGACCACCATTATCATAGACTACCTATATCATAGACCGCCATGCTCACTGACCACCATTATCATTGACTACCAATATCATAGACCACCATGATCACAGACCACCATTATCATAGACTACCATGGTCACTGACCACCATTATCATAGACTACCAATATCATAGACCACCATTATCATAGAATACCATTATCACAGACCACCATGATCACAGACCACCATTATGATAGACTACCAAAATCATAGACCACCATTATCATAGACTACCAATATCACAGACCACTATTATCACAGACAACCAATATCATAGACCACCATTATCATAGACTACCAATATCATAGACCGCCATGATCACAGACCACCATTATATTAGACCACCATGATCATAGACCACCATTATCAAAGACCACCATGATCACAGACCACCATTATCATAGACTACCAATCTCATAGACCACCAGTATCATAGACTACCAATATCATAGGTCACCATGATCACAGACCTCCATGATTACAGACCACCATTATCATAGACTACCAATATCATAGACCACCATGATCACAGACCACCATGATCATAGACCACCATTATCATAGACTACCAATATCATAGACCACCATGATCACAGACCACCATTATCACAGACCACTATTATCATAGACCACCATGTTTGCAATACTCAATTAATGAGTATATAGAATACTAATATGCCACCATTACCACAATACTCCATTAATGAGTACATGGGCTACCAATAGACCACCATCATCACAGACCACCATTATCACAGACCACTATTATCAAAGACCACCATTATCCCAATACTCCATTTACGAGTTCATAGACTACTAGTAGACCACCATCATCACTGTACTCCATTAATGAATACCTGCATTACTAACAGACCACCATGATCATAGACCACCATGATCATAGACCACCATTATCACAATACTCCATTATTCAGGACTTAGACTACTAACAGTTACATTGTTGGTAAGGTTGAATAAAGACACCATTCCATCCAGTTCAACCTTTGTGGGACCACCTTTATCACAGTACTCCATTCATGAGTTCAATGGGCTACTAACAGGCCACCATCATCACACTATACTCCATTAATTAATACATGGGCCACTAACAAACCACCATTATCAGGGTCTGGCTCCTTATTGAGTGAAAATTGCCACAGCCATGTTTACTCGCTTGACCAGGTACCATGTTCGTGGGTGGTAAAAACACAGCTGAGCCACCTGTTATTACGGCCTGTGTGAATGAGGCCCTATTAGGCCAATGAAGTAAATAAGAATGAGGATCCCAGCTTCATAACCCTCTATGGGGTTGAAATTCATGGGACCCTTGTACTCCATTGACTGCCTTGAGGAGGCCTAACAGGTGTGGGGTCTGGGTTCTTTTTGAATTTGGTGGGACCTCACAACTTTTTTCCTGTTACCAACTTCACCAATTGACTACCAATATGACAGACCACCATGATGACAATACTCCATTAATGAGTACATAAGCTATGAATAGACCACCATTACCCCAATATTCCACCAATGAGTACATGGGCTACTTATAAACCACCATCATCACAACAGAGTTTGGCTCTTTGTTGAGTGACAATTGTCGCAGCCATGTGTACTTACCTGTGCAGATTCCATGTTCAGGGGTGGTAAAAAAAAGTGGCTGAACCACCTGTTTTTGCCACATGTGTGAACAAGACCTTATTAGGCCAATGAAGTAAAAGAGAATTAGGATCCTGGCCTCATAAACCCCTACAGGGTAGAAATTCTGGGTGCCTTTGGACTCCATTAAGTGATCTGAGGTGACCTAAGGGGTATTGAGTCTGTTTTTATTTTTTAATTTGGCGGGACCTCAAATTTTTATGAATTGCACAGGGGGGGTGCATGCTGGTTCTTTTTTTGGGGGGGTCCCCATATACACTATATTGCCAAAGTATTAGGTCGCCCGACTTTCCACTTTAATGGCCCCCCCAGTCTTAGTCCGTAGGGTTCAATATTGAGTTGGCCCCGCCCTTTCCACGCACATGACCTTTAATGGCCCCCCAGTCTTAGTCCGTAGGGTTCAATATTGAGTTGGCCCCGCCCTTTCCACGCACATGACCTGTAGTGGCCCCCCAGTCTTAGTCCGTAGGGTTCAATATTGAGTTGGCCCCGCCCTTTCCACACACATGACCTTTAATGACCCCCCAGTCTTAGTCCATAGGGTTCAATATTGAGTTGGCCCCGCCCTTTCCACGCACATGACCTTTAATGGCCCCCCAGTCTTAGTCCGTAGGGTTCAATATTGAGTTGGCCCCGCCCTTTCCTCGCACATGACCTTTAATGGCCCCCCAGTCTTAGTCCGTAGGGTTCAATATTGAGTTGGCCCCGCCCTTTCCACACACATGACCTTTAATGGCCCCCCAGTCTTAGTCCGTAGGGTTCAATATTGAGTTGGCCCCGCCCTTTGCAGCTATAACAGCTTCAACTCTTCTGGGAAGGCCCCCCACAAGGTTTAGGAGGGTGTCTATGGGAAGGTTGGACCATTCTTCCAGAAGCACATTTGTCAGGTCAGGCACTGATGTCGGGGGAGGAGGCCTGGCTCACAGTCTCCGCTCTAATTCATCCCAAAGGTGTTCTATGGGGTTGAGGTCAGGACTCTGTGCAGGACAGTCAAGTTCCTCCACCCCAAACTGGCTCCTCCATGTCTTTATGGACCTTGCTTTGTGCACTGGGGGGCAGTCATGTTGGAACAGGAAGGGGCCATCCCCAAACTCCTCCCACAAAGTTGGGAGCATGAAATTGTCCAAAATGTCGCCTTAAGAGTTCCCTTCACTGGAACTAGGGGGCCAAGCCCAACCCCTGAAAAACAACCCCTCCACCAAACTTTACACTTGGCACAATGCAGTCAGACAAGTATCGTTCTCCTGGCCACAGCCAAACCCAGACACGTCCATCGGATTGCCAGACAGAGAAGCGTGATTGGTCCCTCCAGAGAACACATCTCCTCTGCTCTAGAGTCCAGTGGCGGCGTGCTTTACACCACGGCATCTGAAGCTTTGCATTGCACTTGGTGATGGAAGGCTTGGATGCAGCTGCTCGGCCATGGAAACCCATTCCATGGAGCTCTCTACGCACTGTTGTTGGGCTCATCTGAAGGCCACACCAAGTTTGGAGGTATTTAGCTATTGACTCTGCAGACAGTTGGTGACTTCTGCGCACTGTGCGCTTCAGCATGCACTGACCCCGCCCTGTCATATGACGTGGCCTACCACTTGGTGGCTGAGTGGCTGTTGTTCCCAGTTGCTTCCACTTTGTTATAATCCCACTAACAGTTGAGCGTGGAATATTTAGTAGCCAGGAAATGTCACGGATGGACTTATTGCCCAGGTGGCCACCTATCACGGGACCACGCTTGGAGTCACTGAGCTCCTGAGAGCGACCCATTTTTTCACCAATGTTTGTAGAAGCCGTCTGCATGCCTAGGGGCTTGATTGTATACACCTGTGTCCATGGAGGGGATTGGAACACCTGAATCACATGATATGGAGGGGATTGGAACACCTGAATCACATGATATGGAGGGGATTGGAACACCTGAATCACATGATTGGGAGGGGATTGGAACACTTGAATCACATGATATGGAGGGGATTGGAACACCTGAATCACATGATATGGAGGGGATTGGAACACCTGAATCACATGATTGGAGGGCGGGGCCAATACTTTTGGCAATATAGTGAATATCAGACCCTCATCTAGTATAAGGATCTGGTATAGATGAATGGAATCCTGGGCTCCACAGAGGCTGGGAACTGTCATTTTGCCGGCATTTCTTTGTAAACGTCAGTTTTGCTGTAGTTGGTTGTATACTTCGTACAGGTGAGCCACTTCACAGGCCGGTTTATGGCGCCCCCCAGACATGGTAGTTAATGGAATTTTGCATTTAAAATATTTCACTTTAAATATTAATATTGCTGCTCAGCCAAGCTGATTCTTTTTCTTTCTTTCCTTTGGTCCATGTCCCCCATGGGAGTGCCCAACCTCCCCCCCCATGTTTTTTGGGTGACAATCCCTGGCCTATCAGCCTTGAAACTGTCCTTGACTCTGTTTTAACATTCAGCTCCCACTGACTTCCATGGGGTTCAGATTCCACACCCAATCTTTAGCCATGTTTCCTGAATCTGCCTTGAACCCATCCAGGATAGGTTGGCCTATCCATACCGCCGACGTGCAGCAGCTGGAAGCATAAAATCTAAGAATGGAATGGGTCACATGATCCCTCACCAACTGCAGTGCCATCCTAACCGGCTCCTCCCCATCCTAACCGACTCCTCCCCATCCTAACTGGCTCCTCCCCATCCTAACCAGCCCCTCCCCATCCTAACCGGCTCCTCCCCATCCTAACCGGCCCCTCCCCATCCTAACCGGCTCCTCCCCGTCCTAACCGGCCCCTCCCCATCCTAACCGGCTCCTCCCCATCCTAACCGGCCCCTCCCCATCCTAACCGGCTCCTCCCCGTCCTAACCGGGCCCCTCCCCATCCTAACCGGCCCCTCCCCATCCTAACCGGCTCCTTCCCATCCTAACCGGCCCCCCTCCCCATCCTAACCGGCTCCTCCCCATCCTAACCGGCCCCTCCCCATCCTAACCGACTCCTTCCCATCCTAACCAGCTCCTCCCCATCCTAACCAGCTCCTCCCCATCCTAACCGGCCCATCCTAACCAGCTCCTCCCCATCCTAACCGGCCCCTCCCCATCCTAACCGGGCCCCCCCTCCCCATCCTATCCGGCTCCTCCCCATCCTAACTGGCTCTTCCCCATCCTAACCGGCTCCTCCCCATCCTAACCGGCTCCTCCCCATCCTAACTGGCTCCTCCCCATCCTAACCGGCTCCTCCCCATCCTAACTGGCCCCTCCCCATCCTAACCAGCTCCTCCCCCCTATAGGACAATAATACAAAAAAAACAAAAAGTCTCAGAAGGTGACCGACCTCCTCTCTGCTGTTATGTGGGCGGCTCAGGTGCTGGAGATCGACCTGAAGTTTGGAGATCTCGTTTCTGAGGGATGAAATGATCTGATCCTTCCGCTTCGTCTCCACCTCGAACCTGGAGAGGCGATTGATCTCTTCTCCCAGCTTCAGAAGACAGCGCTCCTAGGAACACGTGAATGGCGTCACATTACATACAGTGGCCCTGTGCGCATTGTAACAATGGGGGGCCACAGACAGAAAGAAAGACCTGACGGGGGCGCTAATTCTAACTCTATCCAAAACAAGCAAAATACGTTTTGGTTGTCGGAAGCCATGTTTTTTTGTGATTTTTTTTTTATAAAACTGGAGTTTTGTTTTTAAAATAATAAACCAATGAGTGTACTTATAACAATAACTGCGAATTTGAACGTTTTCCGGCTATATTCTCCTCCATTCGAATGTGGGAGTGCTGAAAATACTGTATTATGGCCAGCTGATGGCGCTGAGGAGCACACTTGATTCCTATGATAATACGGCATGGCCACTAGATGGCATTGACTACCATAGGAAATAATTGTGTTCCTCAGCGCCATCTAGACCTCTCCAGCAACCATGGATTTCCCACCAGCAACAATAGATCTACCCAGCAGCAACAGATCCACCACCAGCAACAACACCCCCCCCCCAGCAATAATAGTCTCTCCATCAACAGATGATCCCTCCCAGCAACAACTGACCCCCCCAGCAATAATAGACATCCCAGCAACAATAGACACCCCCACCAGCAACAATAGACCACCCACCAGCAACAATAGACCTCCCCAGCAGCAACAGATCCACCACCAGCAACAACAGACCCTCCCCCCAGCAATAATAGTCCTCTCCATCAACAGATGATCCCTCCCAGCAACAATTGACCCCCCCAGCAAAATAACACCCACCAGCAACAATAGATCCCCTGCCAGCAACAACAGACTTCCCCAGCAACAATAGATCCCCCAACTGCAACAAAATTTCCCCCACCAGCAACAAAAGATCTCCCTGGCAACAATAGATCTCCCAGCAACAATAGATCTCCCAGCAACAATAGATCACCCAGCAGCCAGCAACAATAGACCCTCCAGCACACCCCAGCACCCCATGCTATTACATACGTTCAGTGTTGGAGGTGCCGGAACTGCCTTTTCCTGTGTTCCCACTGAAAAAAATGGGGAGAGACTGAAAGATGACTTTGTGGACATTGGATGTTGGTTGGACCCCTGAGCACAGTCAGCTGACCTTAAATAATAAACAGCCCCACCACAGGAGGGGGTAAGTGAGGGAACAGACACGCCTGGAGATTGAAGGAAACCAGGGCAAATGGTTTGAAATGACTAACATGGCGGAAGGCGAGATCCTCCACCATCAATAAGCTGTAGGTGCCCCTCTTGGCCCCAGATATGGTGTTTCTTTGATCTAAAATCTGGTGGGAACCCTTGATTCAAGTCTATGGGCGCCCTAAGAGTCAAACATGAAGGTCGATGATTTCTACCTTTTCGTGGAGCACCGTTATATACCATGGCGTCTTTATCTCCAGAGAGGTGAGATACGTCTGAGGACTTCCGCCGTGATGGAGAATTGTGGAGGAACCGTCCCAAAGGCTGCTTCTGCTGTGATCGGCAGAGCTTTGAATGTGAGGGAGCTTCCGGTCTATGAAGTTATAGCAAAAAGCAACACAGGAAACAAAGTCACATCTCAGAGAACTTTGTAACAAAGGATAAAAAATGAGATATTTGGAAGAAAGTCGGGTATCAGCTTCTATCTAGTTGTAGCCGGGTGCTTGGCTGGAGGCAGTACTCTCTGTGCTCCCAATGGACTTCAGCTGAATGGGTTAACCACCTCACCTCCATCTACTAGGGGGAGCTGACAAGCGGAAGGAGCTCCAGAGACTTGATGGTTGGCAGCATTGAATCGTGGGAGATGAAGTTTGGGAAAGAAACTTTACTATGGCAGTCTATGGACCATTGGACTACAATTCTCTATACCAGTGGTCGGCAAGCCGCGGCTCGCGAGCCACATGTGGCTCTTTACAAGCTTAAATGCGGCTCTTCTGTGTGCCGAGCGCCCGCTCCCCTCCCTCCCTCCTCTCCCCTCCCCTCCCTCTCCCCTCCCTCCCTCCTCTCCCTCCCCTCCCTCCCCTCCTCTCCCTCCCCTCCTCTCCCTCCCCTCCCTCCCCTCCCCTCCCTCCCCTCCTCTCCCTCCCTCCCCTCCTCTCCCTCCCCTCGGACGGGCGTGTGCCGGGCGGCCGCCCCCTCCACCTCCCCTCCCCTCCCCTCCCTCCTCTCGGACGGCCGCCCGCTCCCCTCCCTCCTCTCGGGGGCGGCCGCCCCAAAAGTCAGGACTCTGCAGCTGTCAGGATGTAGGCGGGGCAGCGTGATGAACTCCTCTCCTCTCACAGTCCGCCCTGAAGACCAGAACGGCGCGGGAAGCACGACGAGAGGAACGCGCGGAGCAAAGGTAAGTGAATTGACACAGGGGGGACTTACTATATGGGGGATGAATTACTATATGGGGGACTTACTATATGGGGGATGAATTACTATATGGGGGACTTACTATATGGGGGGGGACTTACTATATGGGGGGGGACTTACTATATGGGGGGGGACTTACTATATGGGAGGGGGACTTACTATATGGGAGATGAATTACTATATGGGGGATGAATTACTATGGGGGGGATGAATTACTATGGGGGGGGGGATGAATTACTATGGGGGGATGAATTACTATATGGGGGATGAATTACTATGGGGGGATGAATTACTATAGGGGGAATGAATTACTATATGGGGGATGAATTGCTATGGGGGATGAATTGCTATGGGGGATGAATTACTCTATGGGGGATGAATTACTCTATGGGGGATGAATTACTATGGGGGATGAATTACTATATGGGGGATGAATTACTATAGGGGGGATGAATTACTATATGGGGGGGATGAATTACTATGGGGATGAATTACTATATGGGGGATGAATTACTCTATGGGGGATGAATTACTCTATGGGGGATGAATTACTATGGGGGATGAATTACTATATGGGAGATGTATTTTCAGTTTTAAAAATGTGGCTCTCAAAATAAATTTCAATCGTGGTTTTGGCGAGATTTGGCTCAGTTGAAAAAAAAGGTTGCCCACCACTGCTCTATACGATCCGGGTATGAGGGGTGAGAGAGTTGTATTTTCTAAGGCTGAATATTGAGGGATTTACTTTTTTGCTGTGGGGAGACTGAGATGAGCACATTGCTGCTTCTGTGTGCACATCAACCTGCTACAAGCGTGCGGCAATGTGCTGAGGACCTTTAGGCAGATCCAAGTGAGCTGACATCTGAACAGCAGTACCCCTGTTGCTGTATCACTGGCACTGGTAAGAGGACACTGCTGCCAGACTGGGAACATAGGGACTGGCTATCTAACTAGCAGCATTATTTACTGCATGCCGAGTTTACTGGGACTGTACTCTAGTGCACCACCATAAAGACTGGGCCCCACCGCTAGCCGGCTGAAGAACTAGGGCTAACATCTACTCACTCAGATAGCTCCTTCACAAGAACTTTGCCTATTGTCCATAGTAAGAGGTACCTCTTTAGGGAGTTCTAAATTTCATCACCACTGCCAGTCATATAGATTGCGACCTTAAGTGGATAAAGACCACTGTTTACAGAGGAGTCATGGCAGTATTGACTATCATTGCTCTTACTGTTTTCTAATGCTGTAACTTTTTTCTGATTTTGTGGATTTACTCTAATTTAGCTGCATAGAACTCCATTCTAAGCTGCTATAGCCTAGTGAACATATTGATAAGTGAACTGATACTGATATTGACTGCAACCCGTGACAATATATGGGGTAACATTTACCACTAACTAGTCTGATGTTTGCTTCTTGATACTGAACCTTAGAGCTCATTCACAGGGGTGGTGGGCTCTACCGTCCCTCTGAAAAGCTATGCATTTGGTGAAACGCATTAAGACGGAGCAGTCTGGGGTGGGGACTATGTGTGTTCAGCTATACCACTTGATATCTCAGTGAAGAGTTTTTAGCTGGGATCTCCTGGTCCATTGATGGCCAGCAAAGATGAGCTTCTTGAACCGGCAGTGAGTGGGAGGGGCACCGGTCTGGAGCATGCTCCGTGTTTGTGAGTTTTACTCATCAGAAAAGCAGATAGAAGTCTGGAGTCAGTAAATAGAGAAGACAGAAGGAAAGTCTGGAAACCATTACCCATCGGGAGAGTGAAGCCGCCATTTTTACAGTGTCCGTGGTGTGATCCGCTGGAGGAGTGCAAGTCGATGACCTGAGAGGAGACGATGCTTTCAAAGGAGAATGCTGCACTGGAGGAAAATCCTGGAGACTGCGGCAAGAAGAAGATTCTGTTACATCAAATAATGAAAACTAGAAAGTGGGGACCCCCTGGAAATGGGTGGGCTGGGTAGATTCATCTATCTATCAATCTATAATCAATCAATCTATCTATCTATTATCTATCTATCTATCTATCTATCTATTATCTATCTATCTATTATCTATCTATTATCTATCTATCTATTATCTATCTATCTATCTATCTATCTATTATCTATCTATCTATCTATTATCTATCTATCTATTATCTATCTATTATCTATCTATCTATCTATTATCTATCTATCTATTATCTAATCTATCTATCTATTATCTATCTATCTATCTATCTATCTATCTATCTATCTATCTATCTATCTATTATCTATCTATCTATCTTTATCTATCTATCTATCTATCTATTATCTATCTATCTATCTATCTAGCTATCTATCTATTTTTATCTATCTATCTATCTATCTTATCTAATATCTATCTATCTATCTATCTATCTATCTATCTATCTATCTATCTATCTATCTTTCTATCTTTCTATCTATTATCTATTATCTATCTATCTATTATCTATTATCTATCTATCTATTTTATCTATTTCTATCTTTTCTATCTATCTATCTATCTATCTATCTATCATCTATCTATCTATCTTTTCTATCTATCTATTATCTATCTATCTATCTATCTATCTATCTATCTTTCTATCTACATTTCAGGTCCATAAATATTGGGACATCTTTTTTATAAAATTTTAACATTTTTGGCTCTATTTTTTTCACAATGGATTTGAAATGAATTTTCTAACAAGATGTCTTTAACTGCAGACTGTCAGCTTTTATTTGATTTTTTTACATCCCATTTCAGGTGAACGCGGTGTAGGAATTACAACAGTTTGCATATGTGCCTCCCACTTTGTTAAGGGAATTAAATTTAATGGGACAGAATAATAATCATAAATCAAAACTTTTTTTTTTTTTTAATTTTTGGTTGCAAATCCTTTGCATTTCAATGACAGCCTGAAGTGTGGAACGCATAGACATCAGCACAACGCTGGGTGTCATCCCTGGTGATGCTGCTGCCAGGCCTCTACTATGCAACTGTCTTCATTTTTGGGGATTTAACCTTGTTTTTTTGTTAGAATTTTCCCCTTCAGTTTTGTCTTCAGCAAGTGAAAATGCTCAATCGGATTCAGGTCAGGTCTTTTGGCCATTTTGCAGAACATTCCACTTCTTTTGGTGCTTTTGTTTTTTTTTTGCTCCTTGGGTCATTGTCCAATCTGCACTTTGTGAAGCGTCCAATTTTTTTGTGAAGCATTTGGCTGAATATGAGCCGATAATTATTCCCGAAACTTTCTTCTTCCAATTTCATCCGGCTGCTTTCTGTCAGCAGTCACACCATCAATTCTTTACTAGAGAAATTTTTTTTCCTTTGGCAGCCTTTACATTCCCCAATTTTCCTTATGACAAACTACCTTCTACAAACCCTTCACTTTACTCACTGATGAGGTGGTATGCTTTTGAGGACCATATTGAGCATTTCCTATTTTCCATTTTCTTCTCTTCCCATCACTTCTTTTTTTGATGTCGGTTTCATCTGTCTTAAGGATTTTTGTTCCAGATCCTTTTTTTTTGGAAGGCTTTTTTACATGTCGTTTGTCAAATCTTAATCTGGCCTTCCTGTTTTTGAGGCTCACCAATTTTTCCATCTTGTGGTGAACCCTCTGTAGTCACTCTGGTGAAGTCTTCTCTTGATTGGTGACTTTGACATTTTTTATTTTTACACCTACCTTCTTCTTTTTTTCTTTTCTCTGGCCAACTTTGTGAAGGGTGTTTTTTGTTTCAACCAGGGAAAGAATTCTTCGGTTTTTTTACCACCACAGTTTTTTCGTGGTCTTCCGGGTCTTTGGTTTGCTGAGCTCACTTTTTGCTTTTTAATTTTTTAAGAATTTCCAAACAGTGTTTTTGGCCATGCCTAATGTTTTTGCTATTTTCTCTCTTTTCATTTTTTTGTTTTTATTTTTTTATAGCCTAATGATGGCTTCACTGATAGTGACAGCTCTTTGGATCTCATCTTGAGAGTTGACAGCAACAGATTCCTTTTCTTGCAAATAGCACATTTGAAATGAACTCTGGACTTTTTTGCTCATTGTAATTGGGATAATTTTTCTTTTTTAACACACACCTTGGAACAGCTGAGAAGCCAATTGTCTTTCATTACTTTTGGTCTTTTTTTATTTTTATTTCCAAGTGGGAGGCACATCTTGCAAACTGTTGTAATTCTTAACACCGTTCACCTGATTTGGATGTAAACACCTCAAATTAAAAGCTGACTTTGCAGTTAAAGCACATCTTGTTTTTCATTTCAAATCCAATTGTGGTTATAGAGCCAAAAATGTTAGCTTTTTTGATTGTCCATTTTTACCCAATATTTTATGGACCTTTTCTGTATCTTTCTATCTATCTATTAGTCTTCTTTATCTATCTTTTTATCTATTATCTTATCTATTTATCTATCTTCTATTTCTATCTATCTTATATCTATCTATCTATCTATTATCTTTCAACTATCTTCTCATCTATTATCTATCTTTCTATCTTTTTTTCTATATCTATTTATCTTATTAAAATCTATCTATTTTATTATCTATCTATCTTCTATCTATCTATCTATCTATCTATCTATCTATTATCTATCTATTATTTCTTCTATCTATTATCTATCTATCTAATTATTATCTATCTATTATCTTAATTATCTATTATTTATCTATCTATCTATTATCTATTTTCTATTTTATCTTTTATCTATCTATCTATTATCTATCTTTCTATTACTATCTATCTATTATCTATCTATTTATCTATCTATTATCTATCTATTATTTTATCTTTTCTATCTATCTATCTATCTATCTATATTATTATTATTCTATCTTATCTATTATCTATCTATCTATCTATTATCTATCTTATCTATCTATCCTATTATCTATCTATCTATTTATCTATCTATCTATCTATTATCTATCTATCTATCTATCTATCTATTCTATCTATCTATCTATTATCTATACTATCTATCTATCTACTATCTATCTATCTATTCTATCTATCTATTATCTATCTATTATCTATCTATTATCTATCTATTCTATCTATCTATCTACTTTTATCTATCTATTACTATCTAATCTATTATCTATCTATCTATCTAGTATCTATCTATTATTTCTATCTATCTATCTATCTATCTATCTAGTATCTATCTATTATCTATCTATCTATTATCTATCTATCTATCTATCTATCTATCTATCTATCTATCTATCTATCTATCTATCTAGTATCTATCTATTATCTATCTATCTATTATCTATCTATCTATCTATCTATCTATCTATCTATCTATCTATCTATCTATTATTATCTATCTATCTATCTATTATCTATCTTATCTATCTATCTATTATCTATCTATCTATCTATTATCTATCTATCTATCTATTATCTATCTATCTATCTATTATCTATCTATCTATCTATCTATTATCTATCTATCTATCTATTATCTATCTATCTATCTATCTATCTATCTATCTATTATCTATCTATCTATTATCTATCTTTGTATATCTCTATATCTGTATATAAACATTGTGCAGTGGTCTCAGGATTTGCCCACAGGAGCAGTTTGATAAAACGAAGTATCTTTCATTGTATGCCCAACGTTCTCTAGGCCGGGCCCCACCAACACATCAGACACACGAGGAATGTTTCTTTATTTTACTGAATTTGGCAGAATCGCTCCTGCAGACACTTCCTGCGAAGCCCCCCCCCCCCCCCCCCCATACTAACTGTGCAATGTCTACTGTTGGGACTTTCTATATATAAAGAGAGAGCACAGAAATGTACGGAGAACACTGCAAGGCACAGTAGATCTGCCATCGGTGGGATCATCACGGGGGGGTCACATGTCTCTCAGATAAGTCTACGGCCAAAGATTATATTCCTACATTAAAGCAGAACTCCGCTCTCCATCAACACAGACTATTTGTAATCCTTCCGCTGCTAACATTAGGAAATAGATAGGACAGGAGATCGGGTTTACTTGTTGGAATATTACTGGAAAATAATAATATTAATAATTAAAACAAGATAAGTAAATAAAATAAATCATATAACTAAATAATGAATAAAATAAAATACAATTATAGGAATATTATTGTAAAATAAATAATATAAATAGTACAAACAATAAATTACTTTTTGGGTGAACTGGTGCATTATCTGACAGAAATGCAGGAGGGGGGGGGGGGGGGGGCAATATTTTTCCTATGATTGTATGGTCAGAATTTGTCAATGATGGGCAAATGCTTATTACATTTGTCCAACAATCTGCTTAGAAAAAAGACCCCCAACTATTCATTCAAAACTATTTTTCTTGGGAAATTTTTGGAAAATAATAATAAAAATGATTAAAATAAGATGATAAGTAAATAAAATAAATCATACAAAAAACAGTGAATAAAATACAAATATTGGAATATTATTGTAAAATAAATAATACAAATAAGAAATTAATTTCTGGGCGAAGTGGTTCATTATCTGACAGAAATGCAGGAGGGGGGGGGGGGGGCAATATTTTTGGCCATGACTGTGTGTATATATATATATAAAACATACAAGCGTGCACGCACATACACACACACACACACACGCTACCTGAGCTTCATAGGAACAGACGGGCTCCTGGGCTGACTTGCTGTACTTCTCCCTCCTGGAATCCATTTTGGGGGATCCTCCATGTTGCCGTCTGGGGTCTCCGGACCCCCGCCCATTGCAGGTCATGAGAACTCTGCATTTTCCAGTCGGTTTTATCTTTCATGTCTTCTAGAGGTTTTGTCACCATCTCATCCTGCAAGAGAAAAGCCGTTCCCCTATCCCGCTATCCATTGTGTTGTAGTTACAGCAAAGCCTGAAGACAAAGGAAGAACGCTCCCAGCTCAGATCTCCCATCAGAGGGAACCTTTCTCCATCCAATGCTCTGAAGGCTATTTGTGCCGTCATGTTACCCCGGTGACCCCCCCCGCCCCCCCATTCATTCTGCAACCTGAAATTAGGAAAGGCTTGTCAGGTACAAAAGCAGCAATAAAAGGATTAAGGTGGAGGTACGGCAGGAGGGGAGAGCCGGGAAGTGATTTATGACGACTACACCCAGCCTGACCACTCTCTGGAAGAATGTAGAGCAGGAAGGCCTGCAGGCCGGAGGGTCGGCCGCCATCTTGGTGTCAATGAATAGGGGGCTCATTCTCATATCTGAGTGCCCCCTTATTGTTAAAGGAGGCTTCCAGATTCTGATATGCCCCCCCCCACCTGCAGACCCCCACAACCACTGGGCCAGGGTTGGTCCTTTCCAACATGGGGACAAGGTGCCATCTCAGGGGCGCCCCCCTATGCAAAGGGCATGTGGCCTTGAAAGGTTCAGGGTGGCAGGTGGAGCACATGCTGACCCCCCCCCCCCCCCCCCTCCAACTTTCCTAGCCAGCCAGGCTGCATGCTCAGATTAAGGGTCAGATATGGATTTTAAGAGACACCCCCGCACTGTGTGATCTGCAGGTGCAGGACAGTGAGATCGGGGCCGTTAGAGTGTATCTGCACCCAAAACCAAAAATGTTCCATATTTCAACTTCCCGATCTTCAGATGTGGCTGTATTAGTTTTCTTTTCCCAGAATTTTATCCTTTTATCTTCACCTGGTAATGCTTTGACTAACGCACTCTATGTCCACGGGTGACTACACTCACCTTTCCACTACTGAGGGAGCCATGGTGGTCACCCAGGCTTGACCCCACTTCAGGGAGCTGTCACTGGGGCGAGTGTCGGCCGTCGGCCGTCACACATTGGGTCATTGTTGCTTTCAGCAGATTTCCATCGTTGTGATCGCCAATGGTGGACGGCATGACTGATTCATGTCATGGGGCATTTCTTCTAAAGACTTTTGTGTGTGTGTTTTTTCTTTTGGGGGGGTGAGTAAATGGATTATTCACATGTGTGTGTGTGGGGGGGGGGGGGGTCAGTATCTTGGTGCACCCTTGTTGAAGGAGGATTCCAGATTCTGATAAACCATCCTGCAGACCCCCACATCCACTGGGCCGGGGTTGTGGGGAAGAGGCCTTTGTCCTTATCAACTTGGAGACAAAGTGCTTTGCCGGGGGGGGGGGCATATTCTGAGGGTATGTGTCATTGAATGCTTCAGGGGAGGGGGCCGCATGCTTGCCCCCCACTCACCCTTCCCTAGGCAGCCAGGCTGCATCTGCAGATAGAGGGACTAGCATGGATTTTGGGGTGACCCTCTCCCCCATACCATTTTTTTTTTCTTGCTGTAGGATGTACTCCACCAGAACTGTCATTTACAAAGAAATAAAACGAACGCCTTTAAATTGCCAGTAAATAACATTTCATTGCCGACTTCTTTTTTTGTTTGTTTGGTAACAACAGCATGGAGAAGCAGCCAGGAAATGAGGCGGAGCTCTATCTGACTGGCTGCAGCTTCCAATGCACATTGTGAGAAGCTCCCAGTGTGCAGTGACATCAGAGGAAGCCATTCCAGTCCAGGGGAGGAGCTGCTACACCTGTGCAAGTCTGAAGGGGAGGAGCCGCTACACCTGTGCAAGACTGAAGGGGAGGAGCCGCTACACCTGTGCAAGACTGAAGGGGAGGAGCTGCTACACCTGTGCAAGACTGAAGGGGAGGAGCTGCTACACCTGTGCAAGACTGAAGGGGAGAAGCCGCTACACCTGTGCAAGACTGAAGGGGAGGAGCTGGTACACCTGTGCAAGACTGAAGGGGAGGAGCCGGTACACCTGTGCAAGACTGAAGGGGAGGAGCCGGTACACCTGTGCAAGACTGAAGGGGAGGAGCCAGTACACCTGTGCAAGACTGGAGGGGAGGAGCCGCTACACCTGTGGAAGACTGAAGGGGAGGAGTCGGTACACCTGTGCAAGACTGAAGGGGAGGAGCTGGTACACCTGTGCAAGACTGAAGGGGTGGAGTCGGTACACCTGTGCAAGACTGGAGGGGAGGAGCCACTACACCTGTGCAAGACTGGAGGGGAGGAGCCACTACACCTGTGCAAGTCTGAAGGGGAGGAGCCGCTACACCTGTGCAAGACTGAAGGGGAGGAGTCACTACACCTGTGCAAGACTGAAGGGGAGGAGCCGCTACACCTGTGCAAGTCTGAAGGGGAGGGAGGAGTCGGTACACCTGTGCAAGACTGAAGGGGAGGAGCCGCTACAACTGTGCAAGACTGAAGGGGAGGAGTCGGTACACCTGTGCAAGACTGAAGGGGAGGAACCAGTACACTTGTGCAAGACTGAAGGGGAGGAGCCAGTACAACTGTGCAAGACTGAAGGGGAGGAGCCGCTACACCTGTGCAAGACTGAAGGGGAGGAGTTGGTACACCTGTGCAAGACTGATGGGAGGAGCTGCTCAACTGTGCAAGACTGAAGGGAAGGAGTTAGTACACCTGTGCAAGACTGAAGGGGAGGAGTCGGCACACCTGTGCAAGACTGAAGGGGAGGGGCCAGCATACCTGTGCAAGACTGAAGGGGAGGAGCTGGTACACCTGTGGAAGACTAAAGGGGAGGAGCTGGTACCACCTGCGCAAGGCTGAAGGGGAGGAGCCGGTACACCTGTGCAAGACTGAAGGGGAGGAGCCGGTACATTTGTGCAAGACTGAAGGGGCGGCGGAGCCAGTACACCTGTGCAAGACTGAAGGGGAGGAGCCGGTACACCTGTGCAAGACTGAAGGGGAGGAGCCGGTACACCTGTGCAAGACTGAAGGGGAGGAGCCGGTACACCTGTGCAAGGCTGAAGGGGAGATGGAGTTAGGCTTTACAAACAATCCCCAGCAGCACACAATCGGTGTCATTATCGCTCTCATTCATCCGGTTGACTTTCAGGTCAGATGATAAGAAGAACAAACACACGGGAAAGGCGCCTTGTATGAGAAGTCAGGGCAGCCAACACCCAACAATTAGACGCGCTTTGATTGAATGGCTCTCGGTGTCGGCCGCCTGGTTACCAGCAACCGCTAAGCTGTTGACTTGAAATGTCTCCATAACATTTAATGGGAGATAATGGCGAGTGTTTGGCCGCGATCTGCAAAACAAACCCTGCGATGTGATTGGTGGGTCTGGAGGATTGGACGGATATCACAGGACTGACGGACTATCTGGCTGTTTATAGGATTATTTCCCATCATAGACAGGAATGCTCGGCACAACGATCCAGCAGAGGTTGTCTGTCTATGGAATGTTCATTCAGATCCCATTATCCCGTGTGTCTCCAATCACCCCAACAATTTATAGTAGTGGGAGGGGCCAGGGCTGCTGTGAGAAACCACAGGGCCCTGTACAGCCAACCTCACCAGCCCCCCCCCCCCCCCCCCCCCCCCCCCCCCCGAAAAAAAACCCACAGTTTACTATGCTTTAGTTACGAATGAACACCTAGGTGATCAGTACGGATCACTTAATGTGTTCATTCGGGAAGGAGAGAGAAGGGGCTGGTAAATGTGACATATTTACCGGACCCTTCCCCCACTCTCCATCCTGTAGGATCCTATGGTGTGCTTGCAGCTGCCGATGGAAAGGAGGGGAGGGAAGCCAGCAGCACTGCAGGGGTGGGGTCACACAGGGGGGGCCTCGGCTGCACGGGAAATATATGGTGGACAGGGAGGGTGATGGGTGCTCCGGGGGGCAATTACTGGAACCGATTCCCTGTATGGCTCCCCCTGCAGCAGCTGAAACCCATACAGGAGATCCGTTCCAGTAATTCCCCCATCGTGGCGATCACCCTCCCATCACCATATGATTCATCCAGCTGCCTGGGGCCCCCTGCTGGCATGGGCCCCGTACAGGAGGACTGGCGGTACCCCCTTATCCATGGCCCGGGGAGGGGCAGAGGTGTAAATAGCCAGAGCAGTCCATGCAGAGACTTGGGGGCTGAGGGGACCTCATTACAGAGTCTGTTGAGGCATTTTAGATATAGAGAATCTTTGTAAATGTGAAGATGACACCGTGACCCTGTACCCCCGTGACCCTGACCCTGTCCCCCCTGTGACCCTGTCCCTGTCCCCCCTGTGACCCTGACCCTGTCCCCCTGTGACCCTGTACCCCCCGTGACCCTGACCCTGTCCCCCCTGTGACCCTGTCCCTGTCCCCCCTGTGACCCTGACCCTGTACCCCCTGGGACTCTTACTCTGTACCCCCTGTGACCCTGACCCTGTACCCCCTGTGACTCTTACTCTGTACCCCCCGTGACCCTGACCCTGTCCCCCCTGTGACCCTGTACCTCCTGTAACTCTTATTCTGTACCCCCTTGTGACCCTGACCCTGTACCCCCCTGTGACCCTGACTATGTACCCCCTGTGACAATGACCCTGTACCCTCTGTGACCCTGACCCTGTACCCCCTGTGACCCTGACCCTGTACCCCCTGTGACTCTTACTCTGTACCCCCTCGTGACCCTGACCCTGTACCCCCCCCCCCCCCGTGGCCCTGACCCTGTACCCCCCCCCCCGTGGCCCTGACCCTGTACCCCCTGTGACAATGACGCTGTACCCTCTGTGACCCTGTACCCCCTGTGACCCTGACCCTGTACCCCCTGTGACATTGACCCTGTACCCCCTGTGATCCTGACCCTGTACCCCCTGTGACATTGACCCTGTACCCCCTGTGACCCTGTACCCTCTGTGACCCTGACCCTGTACCCCCTGTGACCCTCACCCTGTACCCCCTGTGACCATCATCCTGTACCCCCTGTGACATTGACCCTGTACCCCTTGTGACCCTGACCCTGTACCCCCTGGGACATTGATCCTGTACCCCCTGTGACCCTCACTCTGTACCCTCAGTGACATTGACCCTGTACCCTCTGTGACCCTGACCCTGTTCCCCCTGTGACCCTGTACCCCCTGTGACCCTGACCCTGTACCCCTGTGCCATTGACCCTGTACCTCCAGTGACCCTGACCCTGTACCCCCTGTGACCCTGTACCCCCTGTGACCCTGACCCTGTTTCCCCTGTGACCCTGACCCTGTACCCCCTGTGACATTGACCCTGTACCTCCTGTGACCCTGACCCTGTTCTCCCTGTGGCCCTGACCCTGTACCCCCTGTGACCCTCACCCTGTACCTCCAGTGACCCTGACCCTGTACCCCCTGTGACCCTGTACCCCCTGTGACCCTGACCCTGTTCTCCCTGTGGCCCTGACCCTGTACCCCCCTGTGACCCTCACCCTGTACCCCGTGACCCTCACCCTGTACCCCCTGTGACCCTCCCCCTGTACCCCCTGTTTAGCTGTCTTAGCAGTGTAGATGTATCCCTAGTATGGTCTTCCTCAGACTAAACCCATCCCAGGGGTTCTGCTCAGGTGAGAACTGACAAGATAGATCTACAAATCAAACCAAAGTTCAGCTCCCCTCCCAGTATAGTATAGTGTGGATACGCCGAATCACGCAGTTCTGTGTGCGTCCACATAACATACTGTACACGCTCAACCGCTGACTGGCTTTTTCTTTAAGCCGGCCATAGATGGTTGGAATCTCGTCTGGTTCAGCAGAGACATTCACGCCGATTGTCATGCAACTTGGGAGCAGGAGCGGACTGACCATTCGAGCACTCAGACACTGCCTGAGGGCCCGGGGTCAGCAGGGGGCCCCATGAGATGCCCCTGGTACTTTTCATTGGCTTTTTTGGGTGTGGGCGAGGACACAGGGGCCCCATGATCCCCTTTTGCCCGGGGGGCCCCATGAGTTGTCAGTCCGCCCCTGCTTGGGAGCAACCAGCGTGTTTCTATGTCTACATGCGATTATTGCTATAGCCGCTAGCGATGATCACTGGGATGCCCCCCCAACACAATAGCACCGCGGGAGGGATTCCCCATTAACACTGACTGCATTGATGGGGAAATCGAGAGATTGCAATTCTATTTCCTACAATCTGCACCTGCAGGTAGGAAAATCGCATCATCTATGGCCTGCCCTAATGTAAGCCGGCCCATTCTTGGAGAAACGTTCGATCTCTATTTACGAGGCTTTTACCACCCCCCCCCCCATGTCTTGTTTTCTGGGAATTGCTGCGACTTCTGGAAGGTTCCCTCTAATCCTCCGCTCTCTATTGATCGTTATCTATGTTCAGGTTCCATGGTTACATAGATGCAATCAGCGCTCCACCTCCAGCCAATTCCCCGCGGGACGCGTGGAATCCATATGTGACCGCAGAGATCGGTCAGCAACCTTCCGTCTGTAGTAAACAAGTAATGCGAAGGAGGAATCGTGAGATCGGGTCCCGGCACTCTGAGCCTCCATTCCCAGAATTCCTTTCATCGTTTCTAATATTTATTTTATGAACTTAGTCGTTGTATTGTTTTATATTTATTTATATTCCGATAATTGAATTTTATTCGTTATTTATTTATATGATTTATTTTATTTACTGATCTTTTTATTTTATTATTTATATTATTATTTTTACAATAATATTCCAAAAATAAATTATTTTGAAATGAATATTTTGGGGTCTTTTTTTTTTTTATAAAGAGATTTGTTGGACAAAAGTAACGTTCGCCCATCACTGACAAAAGTCTGACCATGTGTTTTCAGTGGTTTCCTCGGAACATCAGCTCCATCTAGTGGCCATAATGTAGTGTTTTGTCTGACTGAGGTATATCAGGAAAAATACCATCTTATGGCCACTAGATGGAGCTGATGAACAGAGGAAATCACTGTAGTAAGCAAATTATTCATCAAAGATGGGCAAATGCTTGTTACATTCATCCAAATTTGTATGTAAAATAGACCCCTTGAGGTAGATTTTAACCTCAGGGGAAAATATTGATAATTTATTAGAGATCAATCACCTGTACAGAGGCGATTTGTTTTTTTTTTTTAAACTGAGCTTGAAAAAATTGACTTTTATACTCAGGATATCTTCAGTGCCATACAGACTCAATGGCTATTGTTTTCCTCTCAACAGCGTCCCCTAAAGGGACCGCCTGGCAATTAAACATCCCAGGGGTCTGCCAGGTGAGAACTGACAAGATAGATCTACAAATCAAACCGAGTCTCACCCATCCAAAGTCGCATCCGAAGTCTCACCCATCCAAAGTCGCTTCCGAGTCTCACCCATCCAAAGTCGCTTCCGAGTCTCACCCATCCAAAGTCGCATCCGAGTCTCACCCATCCAAAGTCGCTTCCGAAGTCTCACCCATCCAAAGTCGCTTCCGAGTCTCACCCATCCAAAGTCGCTTCCGAGTCTCACCCATCCAAAGTCGCTTCGAGTCTCACCCATCATCCAAAGTCACATCCGAGTCTCACCCATCCAAAGTCGCTTCCGAGTCTCACCCATCCAAAGTCGCATCCGAGTCTCACCCATCCAAAGTCGCTTCCGAGTCTCACCCATCCAAAGTCACTTCCGAGTCTCACCATCCAAAGTCACATCCGAGTCTCACCCATCCAAAGTCACATCCGAGTCTCACCCATCCAAAGTCGCATCCGAGTCTCACCCATCCAAAGTCACATCCGAGTCTCACCCATCCAAAGTCACATCCGAGTCTCACCCATCCAAAAGTCGCACCCGAGTCTCACCCATCCAAAAGTCGCATCCGAGTCTCACCCATCCAAAGTCGCTTCCGAGTCTCACCCATCCAAAGTCGCTTCCGAGTCTCACCCATCCAAAGTCGCTTCCGAGTCTCACCATCCAAAGTCGCATCCGAGTCTCACCCATCCAAAGTCGCTTCCGAGTCTCACCCATCCAAAGTCACATCCGAGTCTCACCCATCCAAAGTCGCTTCCGAGTCTCACCCATCCAAAAGTCGCATCCGAGTCTCACCCATCCAAAGTCACATCCGAGTCTCACCCATCCAAAGTCACACCCAAGTCTCACCCATCCAA